AAAAAAAAAAAAAAAAAAAAAAAAAAAACTTCAATTAAATCCCCCAAATCCAGAGCTTTGCAATAAATATATAAGTAAATTCCCAAATATCCATGCTGAAAGTTTAAGAGAAATGTTAGCTGATAATTACAGAAATACAACTTTTCCTTAGCTTTATAGTCACCTAGAAACAAAGACTGTTTCTAATTTTTAGACAGACTCTGCTAAGAACCTTACAAGGAGAGGCTTGTAAATAAGTATGGCAAGGTTCATCGGCAGCGCTGGGCTTGCCCACATCACCCCTGTGATGAACAGTAACGCCATTGTGTAAATGCTCACCAACAAAGTATTACAGGAATTTTCCTGTTTAGACATACCATATTTCCTTTCAAACAATTCTTCAACTTGTTTACGCAGATCAGTGATGCGAGCATTCCATTTCTCTGAAAATTGAGCAAAAGTGAATTCTCAATAAGAAGTCCCTACTGTTGGGGGTGGCCCCAGGGTTTTGAGATGACCAAACATGTAATGACTAATTTTCTACATTTCGACATCCCAACTGTCCATCTCATTTTACTGCTTTCCAAAGAACTTTCCCCTTTTTTGGTAGTTTTTGGAATTACCAGATTGGTACAAAAGTAACCGTGGCTTTTGCCATGACTTTTAATAGTTTCATGGGAGACTATAAGAGAAGTTTTAACATTTAGCACCTCTTTTTAGCCTTTTGATTTCTGAAAAGCGGGAGGGCAGAAAAGATCAATCAAATTAAACACGACAAAAGGAAAGCCATGATAAAGAGGGGTCTTTTGGCAAACTTCCTAAAACATGTCTTAGTTGTGTGGAAATAAGACTTTACAGATACAGAATTGCAACTTAGAATGCTAAAAACAGGCTGGGTGCAGTGGCTCACGCCTGTAATCCCAGCACTTTGGGAGGCCAAAGCGGGCGGGGCATCTGAGGTCAGGAGTTCGAGACCAACCTGGCCAACATGGTGAAACCTCATCTCTTCTAAAAATACAAAAATTAACCAGGCATAGTGATGGGAGCCTGTCATCCCGGCTACTCGGGAGGCTAAGGCAGGAGAATCACTTGAACCCAGGAGGCAGAGGCTGCAGTGAGCCAAGATCGTGCCACTGCACTCTAGCCTGGGCAAAAGAATAAAACTGTCTCAAAAAATCATAATAATAAAAAATAACATAAACATATAAAAATAGTACAAAAATTCAATTCATATCCAGTCATTGTGACTACGACAGTAGAATATTAAAATATGATTTCTAAAATGTATACAAGCTTAATGTTCTATTTATTCAAAAGATGGATCATAACATAATTTGCCACTAATATCTCATTCAGTCCCTTCCTAGGACACATCATCCATTGGGAGCTCACAGATGAGCAGCCTGAGTGACACGGAGCAAAGGGTGAAACAGTTCTACAATAAAGGTTCCAAAGCTAAGAGAAATAACTAAATGACTAAGTCTTTAGCACTAATCTTGGGCCAAATAATTAATATCGGACGGGACAATGTCCTACGCTTTGGTAAATCCAGACTATGCTTAAACAATGCCTGTTATGTGACTTTCAAAATGCTCCTGGCTTTCCAAAGATGAGATTATAATGCAGTTAACGCAGGCTAACTAGCGCATTTCCCCCTGCAGAGCGTGTTGCAACTTTTATCCGTCACACCGAGAGCCCAGAAGATGAAGGAAAAGGTCACGTATTTCACTGGGAACTTACCAAAGTTGAACTCCCTGACTTTCCGCTTCCCTGCATTGGCGGGTTCTGGGACTGGTGGCTGCGGCAGCTCGTTGGTCTTTGGTCTCTTAGAAGGTGGAGAATAATCATCATCTTGAAAAAGAAATTGGTCATTACTGAAGGAACTGTCTTAAGAGTTACAGCCACCTCCTGGTCAATTCCCTACATTCAAAAGGTGAGTGGGGCTTTAGAGCTGTCTTGAGTATCAATAGTTGTATCTGTACTGTGAGCCTTAGCAGACTTTTTCCTGGTCACATCTGAAATTTTATTTGTTTGGGATGTGTTCAAGTAATACTGCTTTTTCCTGTCTTTCTTCATTATTTTTTAGTTTGCTTCATTTGAATTGTCATTATAAACTTCCCCTTCTCAAATAACTTCCAAATAGCTGTCAAGAACTATATTCTAAGACTTTGAGGAAAAATCTTGTAATGAAGATAGCCACCTAAAGTTATACAAATAAGAAAAGGGGGATTAATAAAAGCTTAGATGGAAAAGATATTTAAGCTTATACAAAATGTAAGCATACATAAGCAAGGGAAATTGGATAACTGTATGTTCAAATATTTTTTTTTCTTTTTGAGACAGAGAATTGTTCTGTTGTCCATGCTGGAGTGCAGTAGCGCAATCGTGGCTCACTGCAACCTCCACCTCCTGGGTTCAAGCAATTCTCATGCTTCAGCCTCCCAAGTAGCTGGGATTACAGGTGCCCACCACCATGCTCAGCTAATTTTTGTATTTTTTGGTAGAGATGAAGTTTCATCATGTTGGCCAGACTGGTCTCGAACTCCTGGCCTCAAGTGATCCACCCACCTTGGCCTCCCAGAATGCTGGGATTACAGGTGTGAGCCACCACGCCTGGCCTGTTCAAATACTTTTAACAAGTGCAAAATGAATGGGTTTAAAGAAATAGGGCTGCATTATTATGAAACAGATACTGTTGATTCAGTCACCAGAGAGCCTGTGTATAAAGGAGCAGTCCGCTATTCAAGCGTAGCACACACTCTAGTCAAGACAGCTGTCCTGAGAGTTCCATGCTCATTTCCTTGTGGACACACCAGTAACTCACTCTGCTGTGACGCTTCAATACGCCTGATGTTACCGTTAGAGACCTCTGGGTCAAACCAGCTGCCACTGTCATCTTCCAGTCCCCCAGAATGTCAGGTAACATGCTATTAATACTGCTCGAGCATCATCCATTAAATACTGAAACATCATTTTAAGAAATGTTTTTTTAAAAACAAATGTGGCATGGCAAAGAAACTAATTACTGCGTTAAAGACAGTACCACAGGAAAGAAAGACCACCCGAGAACAGTCAGCTGTCTTTTTAGATGGGTATATTGTTATGCTTATTTTACAGCTAAAGAAACGGGCTTGGGAATGTTATTTGATTGAACTGTGTTGCCTCTTTGGACAGTGCAGCTGAGATCAGACTGCGCGTGCGTGTGACTCTACTGGCCTACCAGGGTGCTTCTCATAAAGGTAAGACATGCGAATTTGGCCTAATGTACAATCTTGCCCCGGGCAGCACTGGGTCATGCCTACAGATAACTTCTATGTTCCTCAAGGGAAACCTTAAGGGAAGGTGAAAATGCTTCTAGAAGGCGACTGGACACCAGCGCCCCTGCTTACTGCCGTTGAGCTCTTCCTCTAGGGCCAACAGTGACCTGAAATTATTGGCTGACTGTTCCAGTCAACTGGGGGAAATGGTACCAAGGTCACCAACATCACACAATTCACTTGAGGACCTATTTACGTGCTTAGAAAGACAAAACTGCTTTTGTAAAGGAAGCAAAAAACCATATTTCAGAAAACCATAATCACCGTAACAACTAATGACTATAAAATGTTGATGTGTTGAATGGTACTTTAGAAAAACATGTTCAAATCTAGGGAAAAGATTTCTGATAGAAAACTATCCATCCATCCATCTATCCATCCATCTATCCATCCATCCATC